TATAAATGTCATATATTTTGGACAAAAGATAACATAATTACCCAGAGAACAATTTTTATCTAAAAATTGTATGTTTAATGCAAAATATATGTTGTTTATATTCAAAATGATCACCAAATTATAAGAATTCCAGCAATGTAAATTATATTCTGACCGGGTAATTTGTATGAATTTTATAAGCTAAAACAAATATCTTCAGTTAATAAAAAAAAAAATAATTCTTCACAGGGTAACAGATGGTCGGTCGGTCGGTCCCTCCCTCCCCCCCACCCCCCACCCCCCACCAACCGTCCCAAGGAGATGTGTGGGATAACCACTAAATTTTAATAAATAATACCTCAAACTAAAGTTAGGATAATATAATTGACATTGCTGGATTCCTTGTAAGACCAGGAATATTTTGAATATAAATGTCATATATTTTGGACAAAAGATAACATAATTACCTAGAGAACAATTTTTATCTAAAAATTGTATGTTTAATGCAAAATATATGTTGTTTATATTCAAAATGATCACCAAATTTTAAGAATTCCAGCAATGTAAATTATATTCTGGCTGGGTAATTTGTATGAATTTTATGAGCTAAAACAGGCAGTCAGGCAGGGTGGCGGGTGGGGGGTGGTGCGAATCTAAAAATAGCTCTCGAGCCGGACACTCACCGCGTATATGATGAAAAATGCCGCGTTAAGTGAAAGTTCAGCTTTGGCAAGGCACCGCGTATATGCGAAAACGCGTTAAGTGAAAGCGCGTTAAGCGGGGTAATACTAATAAAAATTTTGACGGCGGAAACTTGAATTTCGATGGGTTTGAACGGCCCGCCAACGTGCAGACAACGTGCATAATCGTGTAAACAGCGTCATTTCTCTTATGTACAAAAGATTCATTATTGTTTATTACTGAATGTCTTTTTTATTGAATTAATGTTTATATGTGCAAAATGAGCAATACAATTCATTAATAATACGTAGAAAATTAAAACACATGAGGAAATGACACAGCATTGTTTTCGTTGATTACAAAACCAGTGACCGACTGGTTCTACATATAAAACTGAAGAAAATAAGACCTTGGTTGTAGCTGTAGTAAAATTAATATGGTTGTTTTAAGTAATGTTATTTAATGTTAATAAATGGAACAATAGCAGTAGCTAACGATAATGGTAAAGAAAAAGAGAGATCGCACATGTAAGTGCGCATGCGCACACGTGAAAACATATCGTCATTACTTTACATAAGAATATGAAAGCAACACTTATTTACTGTTCATATATATTTTAATTAATGTTTCTGAATTTTTTTTTATTGAATTAATGTACGTGTGTGCAAAATTAACAATACAATTTATTAATAATACGTGGAATATTAGAGGAGACGAGACGGCTGCCGGCATTGTTTATGTTAAAGCTTACGAAACCAGTGACTGATTGGTTCTACATATAAAACTGAAGAAAATAAGACCCTGAGTTTAGCTGTAGTAAAATTAATGTAAAAAATGAATATGGTTGCTTGAAGTACCTGTAATGTTATTTAATGTTAATAAATGGGAACAATATAAGTAGCTAACCATTAATGGTAAAAAAAAAAGTGAGACTGCTCGTATGTAAGTGCGCACATGTGAAAATATATCGTCATTACCCTACATAAGAATACGAAAGCAACACTTATTTACTGCTCATATATATTGAAGGGTTAAATGTTGTACTCTGTATAGACAAGCAGAGAGAGAGAACAGCCGAACTGCCGGATGTAAACAAACCTTAATTTCATGGCTTTTTTTTTTATGATTAGCCCACCAGGCATAGGTCACTGACCCACATTGGGGCCTGAGGGGCAAAATTTAATACTCCTGTAATAATAATAATAATTCAGATAAGTAAAAAAAAAAAAAAAAGCTGCCTATCTACCTATTGGACAAACTGAAATCGTTCCGGACCACAGAATGCCGGACTAGAGAGGTACAACCTGTATTTTCTTTAATTTATATACTTGTTTTCAGGAAAAGGAGACTACCATTATACCTGGTAGGTGAAGTTGACCAGACATTTATGGTGATCATTAAGGACTAAACTCCGAATCCATGGCGTGATTTCTGTTCATCATTCTCATCCTAAATTTACCACTGTCGGTAGTTTCAAGAATTAACTCAGTCATTTACTGAGTATTCTTTGTAAAAAATAAATTTTAAATGAATTATTTATAGGAGATAAGTATTATGATCAGTAAATATACAGATATGCATTATTGACCACCTCGAACACAAGGACAGGACGGCTAAAATAATATAGGCGGTCGATCAAGGTCACTTTCCTTTCTTGTCACTGCAAATGGGGAGGGTGATGATAGCAGCTGTGTTTATTATCGGGGTATATTGTTCTTTACGGTATGTTAGACAGGTTTATAATACATTTTTATTATTTTAATATACCGGTAATCTTAATTTTAATCCGGCTTCCCAAATGTAAGTTTCAGTATAAAATAATTAGTGGTAGGACCTTGTGAGTGGTTTACGATGTTTCCATCGCCACTCTTGACACATAAACCGCAATATTTAAGAGGTAAGAATTTTATATCTGGTGCTTAAGACGACCCCCTAACTTTGGGCTGATTTTTTTAAGGTTCAAATTCCGTCTTATAGACCGAGATATACGGTATCCTAGAATTTCATTTCCAAAATCAGGGTGTGTCTTCCACGATGCAACGTCTTCCAAGCGAAAATACGGTAAATCAATGAAAAGTTTGTTAATGACCACACCTTAACACTTATGGATAAAGATTCTAAGCCATCACCAAAAATGTACTACACCCATAGTAACCATGAGTAATTATGGCAAACACCATTAGTGATCACAAGAAGTATTTTGAGTATGAATTTAAGATAAATCATTGATTTAACTAGAGTGAATACCAACCAAGAAAACGGGACACTGTTTCCTTTGGAAGTACAGTGACAACCCCAATCCCGGGACCACTATTTATATGAATTTGAAGTGGGCGGGTCAATGATCACGCCACCTACTTGAAGCTCTGATTGGCTGGTCAGAGACACTTCGGTCTTACACACCTACAGTAAACAATTTGGATTGAGCTTAAACTTTATGAACTATACTACAAAGACAATATAATATCACCTCGACGGACAAGTGCAATATACAGTATTTTAACAAACTACCGTACAGTAATTCAAGCCAGCCCTTAACGTTAAATCAAAATTTCCGCTAAGTCAAATTTTACGTAATTTTCACTCAATTTAGCGATCGCTAAATCAAGTGTGATTCTGTTAAATTCCACACCAAATGTGTCGCTTGGAACGTGGGGTTTGTTTACATCTGCTCAGTCTGTGTTCTGCCGCCACCACGTGTGTTGACCACTGCTATCTCTCGGTCTACATCTCGGTCAACTACGGTAACTACTGTGCTTAGACATCATGCCAAAAGTCTCAGAAAGGAAGTGGTATGGGGGAGAAAGTCAAAAGAGTGTTGCTATCAATTGGAAAACAGTTTGGAAACTATAGAAAAAATTTAAAACAAATACGAACCCCTAATTTAAGGTAAGCAATCAATAATATTTCTAATGTTTCTATGTACATGTCATGTATCTGAGGTGTCTCCGTAGGTGTGAGTGTATTAACGGAATTAATCTCAATTTAGCAAACTAGTTCACTAAATTGAGTGAAAAATAACGGCAAAATTCCTTCTGGTAAATCAAGAGTTTGTTATATCGGATTCTGTTAAATCGAGAGCACAGTACAGTATACTGTATGACACTACAGTGAACCCTCACTTTACTCGGTCAATTGAACCCACGGCGGCCCGCGTAAAGTGAGAAATGAATAAAGTGAACAACATAACATATGGGATTAATTGAAATAGAGACCAGGCCGACCCCCAAACTCCACTTTTTCAGACACCATACCTACGTTGTAGTAAAAATAACTTCTTAATTTTATGATGGTATGCACACACAATTAATTATTAAGAGAAATATCAATAATATTGGTTTTTAACACTTACATTAGTAGAAAAGATGGCTGGGCACACAGGGATGGGGGTTGGTTCGAGGCAGAGGGCAGATTATTGGCCCTCACCTGTATCATTGTATCACTATCCACCACAGAGGCTTGCAGGGCCTCTTTGTCAAACCCTCAAAGTCCATACAAGTCCATATCATCACTATCATTATCACTATCACTGACTTGGCGGCTGTGGTGGGTGGCGGTGAAGAACTCGGTATGTTTTGATGACTGGCGACTGTGCGCCTTAGCTCCAGCTCCAGCTGCTCAGCGTAAAAGGTACAAACCCGGGAAAAGTGAGCATTCGTGTTGACGGGGTACGGCGTAAACGTGAAGCAGCGTAAGTGGGACCAAATAGCGAGTTGACTGTATTAGGAACATTATGTTTTAGTCCTTCAGATATGCTAACACTGGATACCTTGTTATTAGTGAGGATTCTGAGCTTGTTATTGAAACTCATTTAGGAATGGTCAGGTCAAATCTCTACTGGAGATGACCAACACATACCCCCTCCCGGGGATGTGACCATATCCTGGGCTAACACAGCTTCAAGTTTAAGAAGCCACAGATGCAGAAAATTATTGGAGCAAACTTCTTTGGAGTAACAGTTTTGAGCTCTTGGAATAATCTGCCAGAGAATGTTGTGAGAGTACATTTAAGACAAGACTTAACCAATGCTAGTACAGGTACCTGTTCAGGTGCATCCAAGAGCCTTTATGTGCCTAGTACTGGCCAAAATTCCATAACAGAAATGACTCGCTGTCCAACCCAGTAGAAAGCCAACCAGTGGTAGAGGATAAAGTTCAGTAATGTTATTATCTGTGAGAGGATCTGTATGCAGTCGCACTTTATTAATTTATTTTGTACTGTGGTTCATTTTAGGTCTTAATTCTTATGCATTCATAGAGATGAAGAAAATGTCCCAATACTGTAATGTGAAACATTAATTTTCAATGAAATGCCTAAATGATTGTGTTGGTTTCTTATAGGTGCGAGAGGTCAGCAGGATGGCTCTTGACAATGTGATCATGGACGACAGCAGTATGGAGGCCATCCCCGTCCACCTGGACACTGTCATTCACGAAAAGAAAATCCTCCACCATCATGGAAAAATTCAAGCTGATTACATTTTCTGTAAGTTTGCAAACATTATGGGAGTATCATATATCGAAATAATCTTTTTAGCATTCTTATCTAGACATCAAACTTACAAATAACAGTGTTTGAACATTTTCAGTGTTGGGCCAAGAATAGAAAATCCCCATAATCTCAACATGTTTTAGGTTCGTGAGGGTTAAGAATATGAATTACCTAAGCAATGATTATAAGAAACTCTGTGCAGTGGTAACAGAGAAAGAATATTTATACATAGCGGGTAAATGTAAGGGAATTGATAATTTGTTTCAGATGGTTAGAGATGTGTGAAATTGAGTTTCAATAATGTTGGTTATGCAACAGATGGTATTAGTATTTAAATGAGTTTGGAGTCTGAGCTTTTGTGACTCAGTGTCCTAGAGCTTCTGACCCTGTTAGGAGAAAGCAATATTTATGATTAAGGGTTCTTTACATTGCTACCCTCCCTGCTCCAGCTGCACTCTGGGAGAGATTGGTAGGTGCCAGGTGAAAGCACATAATTCTGCACCAGTTGTTAACTCTCCTTCCAGGATAGGAGTAAGATTCCATGTGGGTGCTTGTTGTCAGATCTGTAGACCTCAGGTGTCCTGTTCATTGCACTACCTGTGTTGGTCAGGTTTCTCTTATGATGTCATAAACTTCATTATGCATCACATACCATCCCAAGGAGGCCCCACAGCTGAGGGTATTGCTGTATATGTATAAATAAGGTTTAAAAATGAAGGACTGTTCCTGCATGGAGGGTCAATGGGTCAGGGTGAGTGTCTCAGTAGGCTAGAATAGCTAGTACAGTGGTCCCTCGGTTAACGAGCTCCTCGGTTAACGAGATTTCGGTTAACGAGTTACCTTCCACAAGATTCTTAACTTCGGTTAACGAGCAATCCCTCGATTAACAAGTTTCTTACGAGCCGACCTGAACATGTTTTCGCTTGCATTTGGTGGTCCACCAGCTGTAGTATTAGTCCGCCAATACAGTAATCGGTTCTAGGGCTTAAATTCCTTACCATTTTAGCAAATATCAAAGAAGTTTATACTATTCAATAATTTTAAAACTTTAATATTAAATTTTTTATCCTTTTAACAATTACTGAACATAATTGAGGTAATGAAACAAGTTTTATCTTGCATCCAGCTTCTCAACACACCATACAGGCGTCAGTCTTTGTGTCTTTTCAGTTGAGGTAACATCTTGCTTGAGACTCTCTTCAACTAAACACTTTTTTCTGTGTTTGCAAGCAAATTATTGGTCATTGTTTTACATATTGACAATATATAATGCAGTGCAGTGTTGATTTAAAGAAAATAATCTTGAATTACACCAAGAACTAAAATTTTATGGGTGAAATGGCACCATGGGGTGACTTCTCTTCCACCCCAATGCCTTCTCTTCTCCTTCTCCTCCACCCCATTCTAATTCCCATCATCATCATCCAGGAGCCTTCTACATACACACCTCAAAGTAAGTGTACTTTTCTACCTTTTTTGTTGAATTTAGGCAATTTTCGGTGAGCTGGAACCAATTACCCAAAAACCCATTGAAACAATGGTTTCGGTTAACGAGTTTTTCGGTTAACGAGCAACCTTCTAGAACGGATTGTGCTCATTAACCGAGGGACCACTGTACTGTAGGAAGTTCTAGGCATGGGGGACACTCATCCTCTAAAAATGAGCTCTCTTGATAAGCCTGAGGCAAACTGTCAGATAGTTTGAGTTTTCTGTTGGACAGCTACTCTCTGCTAGTTTGCTATATTATTAGAGCGCATGGTAGTACAACTGTCGCATCAACTCTCAGCTATATGAACCAGGTTCGTGGTCTCACAGTGCTCTCGAGAGTTGAAGCATAGATTTGAATGCAATATCATCAATATATTAATAGGTCTAATTCAAACATCAAGTGTATTCCCTCTGAAGTCATGTTCAAAGCCAACAGATGGATATGGTAGATATTATCTGTTTTCCATGAGTATTTCACTTCTAATTAACTATATACAGTGGGGTATGCTATACTTGAGTCTAATTGGTTCTAGAACCTTGTTCGTTATAGCATTCGTTCGTTATAGGATTAATCCGTTCCAGGCCCCCAAATACAACCACTTAACACTGAAAATATAATATAAAAATGTAAAAATTGTAAAAAGTGCATAAATATGCATCCAAACCCTGAAATAAAGAATACTCTTGTAATAAAAAAACAATAAATTAGTAAAAAAAAAAAAAGATAATATAATAATGTTTGTTGTAGGAGTTTCGTTCGTTATAGCATTCTCAATTTTATAGGTAAAACCGTTCGTTATAGGAATATTCGTAGTAGAATCCATTCGTTATAGCATACCCCACTGTAGATGGTTATCAGATTATTGACGATGAATTTACAACATATTCATTGATGCAACAGGTGTACGTTATTTGAATTTAAGCACTTGAACATCAATACTAATTATTGGCATTGGACAGGACGTTTTGGTGTATTTTTGCTGTTTACTTACCTAATGCAAAAACAGAAGCTTCACCATAACTTGGCCGTGAAATGAAATGGCTTCCCTCAATCGTGTGTCTCTTGAAAATTAATGGTCCAACCAATTTCACCAACTCTTCCACCTGAACTGCTTACATCTGGGTGAAATTACGGAACTATTGAGCATCTTCTATCTGTAATTCTTTCACAAGCCTGTTGTTAGCTCCCAGTTCACCTCCTCTACCTCCCAATACTACCGACTGACCGAGAGTCACTATAGAGTGTATCTCTTGTCAGGTTAACACACCACTGAGAGTTCTCTCTGACAGCTACTGTCAGGAAATCTCTCGACAGCTTAAAACTCTTAGAAGTTTGCTCTCATGTGGATACACAGAAGAGATAATTATCGACAGTAACTATCGAGAGTCCGCTCTCAAGTGGAAACGGCCCTTTACCCAAATGGAGGTGATACCCCATGTATGTGGCTGGTCATGGGAGTGTAGTGGTGGTGTGAGGTACTGGTGGTGGTGGTGGTGGTGTGAGGTACTGGTGGTGGTGGTGGGTGGTGTGAGGTACTGGTGGTGGTGGGTGGTGTGAGGACTGGTGACTGGTGGTGGTGGTGGGCAGTGTGAGGTACTGGTGGTGGTGGTGGTGGAAGTGCTGGTGGTGGTGGTGGGTGGTGTGAGGTACTGGTGACTGGTGGTGGTGGTGGGTGGGGTGTGAGTACTGGTGACGTGGTGGTGGTGGGTGGTGTGGTGGTGGCTGGTGGTTACGGAAGTGTGGTGGTGGTGGTGAGTGCTGCTGTTGGTGGTGGTGAGTGTTGTTGTTGTTGTTGGTGGTGGTGAGTGCTGTTGGTGGTGGTGGTGTTGGTGGTGGTGGTGGTGTTGTTGGTGGTGGTGGTGAGTGCTGTTGGTGGTGGTGGTGTGTTGGTGGTGGTGGTGAGTGCTGTTGGTGGTGGTGGTGAGTGCTGGTGTTGGTGGTGGTGGTGAGTGCTGTTGGTGGTGGTGGTGGTGCTGTTGTTGGTGGTGGTGGTGCTGTTGTTGGTGGTGGTGAGGTGCTGTTGTTGGTGGTGGTGGGGTGCTGTTGGGTGGTGGTGGTGGTGCTGTTGGTGGTGGTGGTGGGCCTTTGTTTGGTGGTGGGGATGCTGTTGGTGGTGGTGGTTGGGGTGTTACGTTTGGAGGTGGTGCTGAGGTGCTGTTGGTTGGCCCCAGTGGGTGCTGTGGTGGTGGTCAACTGAGTGCTGTTGGTGGTGGTGGTGGAGTGCTGTTGTTGGTGCAGTGATTGAGTCTTGTTGGTGGTGAGTGGGTGAGTGCTGTTGGTGGTGAGTGGTGGTGCTGTTGGTGTGGTAGTGGTGAGGTGCTGTTGGTGGTGAGTGGTGAGTGCTGTTGTTGGTGTGTGCTGTTGGTGGTAGTGGTGGGTGTTGGTGGTGGTGGTGGTGGAGTGTTGTTGGTGGTGGTGGTGAGGTGTTGTTGGTGTGTGTTGGTGTGCTGGTGGTGGTGGTGAGTGTTGTTGGTGGTGGTGGTGAGGTGCTGTTGGTGGTGGTGGTGAGGTGCTGTTGGTGGTGGTGAGTGCTGTTGGTGGTGGTGGTGTGTTGGTGGTGAGTGGTGGGTGTTGTTGGTGGTGGTGGTGGGGTGGTGGTGGTGGTGGTGCTGGTGGTGGTGGTGGTGAGTGCTGTTGGTGGTGGTGGTGGTGCTGTTGGTGGTGGTGGTGGTGTTGTTGGTGGTGGTGGTGGAGTGCTGTTGGTGGTGGTGTTGGTGTGTTGGTGGTGGTGGTGGTGCTGTTGGTGGTGGTGGTGAGTGCTGTTGGTGGTGGTGGTGGTGTGGTGCTGTTGGTGGTGAGTGGTGGGGTGCTGTTGGTGGTGGTGGTGGTGCTGTTTGGTGGTGGTGGTGGGAGTGCTGTTGGTGGTAGTGGTAAGTGTTGTTGGTGGTGGTGGTGGGAGTGCTGTTGGTGGTGGTGGTGGGTGTTTGTTGGTGGGGTGGTGAGGTGCTGTTGGTGGTGGTGGTGAGTGCTGTTGGTGGTGGTGGTGAGGTGTTGTTGGTGGTGGTGGGGTGCTGTTTGTTGGTGGTGGTGGGAGTTGCAGTTGGTGGTGGTGGTGAGGTGCTGTTGTGTTGTTGGTGGGTAGTGGTGCTGTTGTGGTGGTGGTGGAGTGCTGTTGTTGGTGAGTGAGTGGTGTTGTTGGTGGTAGTGGTTAGTGCTGTTGGTGGTAGTGGTGAGTGTTGTTGGTGGTAGTGGTGGAGTGCTGTTGGTGGTGGTGGTGAGTGCTGTTGGTGGTGGTGGTGAGTGCTGTTGGTGGTGTTGGTGAGAGTGCGTTGGTGGTAGTGGTGAGTGCTGTTGGTGGTGGTGGTGAGTGCTGTTGGTGGTGGTGGTGAGTGCTGTTGGTGGTGGTGGTTGGTGCTGTTGGTGGTGAGTGCTGTTGTTGGTGGTGGTGGGGATGTGGTGGTGGTTGGTGCTGTTGGTGGTAGTGGTGCTGGTGGTGGTGGTGAGTGCTGTTGGTGGTGGTGGTGGGGTGTTGGTGGTGGTGGTGAGGTGCTGTTGGTGGTGGTGGTGGTGCTGTTGTTGGTGGTGGTGAGTGCTGTTGGTGGTGGTGGTGAGTGCTGTTGGTGAGTGGTGGTGCTGTTGGTGGTGGTGGTGAGTGCTGTTGGTGGTGGTGGTGAGTGCTGTTGGTGGTGGTGGTGGTGTGTTGTTGGTGGTAGTGGTGGTGCTGTTGGTGGTGGTGGTGGTGCTGTTGGTGGTGAGTGGTGAGTGCTGTTGGTGGTGGTGGTGAGGTGTTGTTGGTGGTGGTGGTTGGTGCTGTTGGGTGGGGTGGTGGTGGAGTGCTGTTGGTGGTGGTGGTGAGTGCTGTTGGTGGTGGTGGTGGTGCTGTTGGTGGTGGTGGTGTGAGTGCTGTTGGTGGTGGTGGTGGTGCTGTTGGTGGTGGTGGTGAGTGCTGTTGGTGGTGTGGTGAGTGCTGTTGGTGGTAGTGGTGGCTGTTGGTGAGTGGTGGTGGAGTGCTGTTGGTGGTGGTGGTGGGTGTTGTTGGTGGTGGTGGTGGGGTGTGTTGGTGGTGGTGGTGGTGGTGCTGTTGGTGGTGGTGGTGGGTGCTGTTGGTGGTGGTGGTGAGTGCTGTTGGTGGTAGTGGTTAGTGCTGTTGAGTGGTGGTGGTGAGTGCTGTTGGTGGTGGTGGTGAGTGCTTTGTTGGTGGTGGGAGTGGTGGTGGTGTTGTTGGTGGTGGTGGTGGAGTGCTGTTGTTGGTGAGTGGTGGTGTGTTGGTGGTGCTGTTGGTGGTGGTGGTGAGGTGCTGTTGGTGGTGGTGGTGGTGTTGTTGGTGGTAGTGGTGGAGTGCTGTTGGTGGTGGTGGTGGTGTTGTTGGTGGTGGTGGTGAGGTGCTGTTGG